AGCAATGGTGAGAGTGGACATCCTTGTCTTGTTCCAGATCTTAATGGAATTGCTTTCAGCTTTTCACCATTGAGAATGATACTGGCTGTTGGCTTGTCATAGATGGCCTTTATGATGTTGAGGTATGTTCCTTGTATCCCCAGAATTTCAAGGGCTTTTATCATGAATGGGTGTTGCACTTTGTCGAAAGCTTTCTCAGCATCTATTGATATTATCATATGGTTTTTATATTTCTTTTTGTTGATGTGTTGGATAACGTTGATTGATTTTCGGATGTTAAACCATCCTTGTGCCCCTGGAATGAATCCAACTTGGTCGTGGTGAATTATCTTATGGATACATTGTTGGATTCTGATAGCTAAAATTTTATTGAGGATTTTTGCGTCAGTGTTCATTAGGGAGATTGGCCTGTAGTTTTCCTTTTTTGTGTTGTCCTTGTTCGGTTTTGGTATTAGTGTAATGTTGGCTTCATAAAACGTGTTTGGTATTGTCCCTTCCTTCTCAATTTTTTGGAAGAGTTTGTGAAGGATAGGCACTAATTCGTCTCTGAATGTTTGGTAGAATTCATTTGTAAATCCATCAGGTCCTGGGCTTTTGTTTTTGGGGAGGTTTTTTATTACCATTTCAATTTCGCTAATTGTAATTGGTCTGTTTAGGTGTTCTCTTTCTTCTTTATCTAGCTTTGGGTGATTGTAGAGTTGTAGGAATTTGTCCATCTCCTCTAGATTGTTAAACTTGTTTCCATATAACTGTTCATAGTAGTTACTGATTATTCTTTTGATTTCTGCTGTGTCCGTTGTGATTTCTCCTCTTTCATTGATGATCCTGTTTATTTGTGCTTTCTCCCTTTTTTCCTTTGTGAGCCTGGCTAGGGGTTTGTCTATTTTATTGATTTTTTCAAAGAACCAGCTCTTGGTTTCATTGATCTTTTGGATTGTTTTTTTAGTTTCAATTTCATTTATTTCTGCTTTGGTTTTTATTATTTCTTTTCTTCTACTGTTTTTGGGGTTTTTTTGTTGTTCTTTTTCTAGATCTTTGAGCTTCGAGATGAGGTTGTTTCTTTGCGTTCTTTCTTGTTTCTTGATGTGAGCTTCTATTGCTATATATTTTCCTCTTATTACTGCTTTTGCTGCATCCCATACATTTAGGATATTAGTGTCCTCCTTGTCGTTCAATTCAAAAAATTTTTTAATTTCTTCTTTGATCTCCTCATTAGTCCAATGGTCTTCCAGTAGTGTGGTTTTTAATCTCCATGAGGTAGGAAAGTTCCTTGCCTTCTTTTTATGGTTTATTTCTAGTTTGATGCCTTCATGGTCAGAAAAGATGGTTGATATGATTTCAATCTTGGTGTATCTGTTGATGTTTGTCTTGTGCCCCAGTATGTGATCGATCCTGGAGAATGATCCGTGTGCGCTTGAGAAAAATGTGTACTCCGTTTTTTTGGGGTTTAGTGTTCTATAGATGTCTGTTAAGCCTAATTGCTCTAGGTCCTTATTTAGAGCTTTGGTTTCTTTACTTATTTTTTGTCTTGTTGATCTATCCATTGTTGATAGTGGTGTGTTGAAGTCTCCCACTACGTATGTGTTTTCTCTGATGTCTGTTTTCAGAGAGGACAACAGTTGTCTGATATATTTTGGTGCTCCTTCGTTTGGTGAGTATATGTTAATGAGTGTTATTTCTTCTTGAAGTATTGTCCCCTTGATCATAATGTAGTGACCATTGGGGTCTCTTTTTATCTTTTTGAGTTTGAAATCTGTTTTATCTGATATAAGTATAGCTGTTCCTGCTTTCTTTTTTGGTCCATTTGCTTGTAGGATTGTTTTCCATCCTTTAACTTTGAGCCTATTTTTATCTTTTGTAGCTAAACGTGTTTCCTGGAGACAGCAAAAGGTTGGGTTTTGTTTCTTAATCCAGGCTGCCACTCTGTGTCTTTTTATTGAAGAGTTTAGTCCATTTACATTTAGAGTTAATATTGATATGTTAACATCTGTATTTGCCATTGTGTTTGTCTTTCCTTTGATTTTATTTATTTATTCTTTTAATAACTTTTTTTTTTTTTTTTTTTGGCCTTCTTTCATTGTTATTCGTCCCTCTGAGGTTCTGGCTTTAGGACTCCTTGTAGTATTTTTTGGAGTGGGGGTTTAGTTGCAATGAAATTCCGGAGTTTCTGTTTGTCTGGGAAGGTCCATATTCTTTCTTCAAAGAGGAAGGAGAGCTTTGCGGGATAGAGTATTCTTGGTTGGCATCTGTTTTCTTGGAGTCTGTTGACTATGTCCCTCCACTCTCTCCTTGCCCGTAGTGTTTCTTCGGAGAAGTCTGATGTCAGCCTGATTGGCTTTCCTTTGAATGTTATCTGTTTCTTCCCTCTTGCCAGCTTCATTATTTTTTCCTTGTCCTGGATTCTTGGGAGCTTTACTATTATGTGTCTTGCTGTATTTTTCCTTTCGTCGTGGAAGTTTGGTGTTCTTCTTGCTTCTTGTATATCAATTTTCAGCTCCTTCTTCACATTTGGGAAGTTCTCTTCAATTATCTCTTTGAATATTTGTTCCTACATCTCTCTCCTCTCCTTCTGGTATTCCTATAACTCTTGTATTTCCTTTCCTCATGGAGTCAGATAGTTCCCGAAGTCTTTCTTCGTTCTTTTTCCTTCGTACTTCTCTTTCCTTTTCTGTTTTGGTTCTTTTTATTTCTGTGTCTTCAAGATTACTTATTCGTTCTTCCATTTCATCTATTCTGCTTTCATTGCTTTTCCCAGAATTCTTTAGTTCTTCCATTAATTCTTTGATCTCCTGCATTTCTTTTACTTCCCTCTTTAGGGACTCAATTTCTTTCTTCTGACCATTGTTTTCCCTCTCTAGGGACTCAATTGCATTCTTCTGATCGTTGATTATTTTTCCCTTATCATTGTTTTCCTTTATGACTTCTGTCAGTTTTTTAATCACGGCAATTTTAAATTCTCTTTCTGGAAGGCTCAGAAATTCTTCCAAGTTATTGTCTTTGCAATCTGGGGGCTGGCTTTCTTTTTGTGGTGTGCTTTTTCTCTGGAGAGTTGCTAGGTTGCGTGTTGTTCTTCTCCTCCCTACTGTCTGTTTTCTAATTTGCCGTATGCGTTGGGACACTGTGTTGTTGGGACTGGCCGGCATCTTGGGTGGGCTTCTCTGTTCCCCTCTGGTTCTTCCAGGAGTCATCTGTCAGTTTCAAGCAGCCTCCGCGGCGGATCCTGCAGGGTTCGCCTCAGCTCCCGTTCACGGGGTGTGGTGGCTGCAATAGTTCCTTTCCACTCCCAGTCCCGCTTGCTGTGTCCGTTTTTCTTGTTGGCCGTTTTGGTTTGTTGTTTCCCTCCTCTCTGCCGGTCGGAGAGTGCCGCCTCTGTGGTCGGGGGAGGGGAGCAGGGTTCTGCGCTTCCCTCCCTTCTCGTCCTCTTTTATGGCCACTTTCTTCTTCGGGCAGTTTGCTGGAGTCGTCCGTTTATCTTCCGTGTCCCAGTTCTCACTGGGACCTGCCGCTTTTCCTCCCTATTCACTTTTTTTAATGGGAGATCTTACTCGCAGCGTCTCCTCGCCGCCATGTTGCTCCGCCCTGTTTGTTTTGATTTCTATCCTCTTTACATGAAGCAGACTGATTTCTATCCAAAGGTACAATGGAAAAAGCCAGAAGCCAGAGGCAGACATGCGATGTGACAGCCACACAGCAATAACCTAGAGGCCACTGCAGACACTTGGTTGTGTGTGTAGGCAAAGCCCCGCTATATCCCAGGCCATCCACATTACTCTTTAGATTCTCTGTTTTTTTTTTCTGTTGGTTGTTCTCCTATGTGTTGAGAATATACAAGTAAATGTTTATTCCATTCTTTTAGCATATATAATATAATGTAACATGATATAACATAAAATACTATATTGTAATATATATAACATTCTTTAAGCATGACTGTAATGTTATTACATAATAAATTTAATGCTTTGCTATCTAATTCATTAACAGAATAACTGACATTCCACTGCATTGTGGTTAAGCCTGCACATCCTCCCAGCTTCCTCTTTCTGCTTGTCATCCCTTGATAGTCATCATCTACTTTAAACTTGCCTGAGAACCTCCTAATAGAAGCAGGAGTGTAGGGATGATCTGAAAAAGCAGGTGATAAAATAGGGTTTTGCAAGGGTCTTATTCTTTGCTGGGTTACCTAGCACTGGCTCTCACTGCCAGTCGCTGGAGCAGATAGCCTTTAGCATGAAGTGGCGGACAGTGACTCTGAGATGGCCCGCTTGTGGAAGGGCATACCCAGGCATGGGAGAAACACGGGAGAAATAGTAATTACAAGGCAATGACACTGGGTGGTAACTGCTAAATTCTACTGATGCCTAGAAAAAAACATTATAAAAGATGAGGCGTGGTGATGGGTAACTGAGACCAACAAAAAGCTAGAGGGACTCCTTGGCAGCACACAAGGCAGCCTTCAAGGATCTGAAGCATCCCCAAGGCCTTGCTATTCAATTCACCGCATTGTCCTGCAAACCAGAGTCCACCACAGACTGCCACAAACTCACCCCAGGAGCGGCCCTGGAGCACTTGCCCTGCGGGTCTTGGTATTTTTGCTAGAACAAACGAACACAGCTCCAGGCACATTTTACTCGGCCCCAGGACTGGTGAGGTGAGTTTGGTGAGGTGATTGAGAGAAGTGGACGGCGACGGTGTGCGCTCGCCCGGGACAGACGGACGGCCGCGTCTCCACAGCAGTGCTCAGCCCTCGCGCCCTGGTGACGGCCTGAGGGGCTGGGGCGGCGGGGCGGCCGGCAGACCGCCTGAGGCCGGGTGACACGGCCGCGCTGACTGCAGACTGACGCCGCCCTGTTAGTGCCGTCGAAGGGACAGCCGCGCGCCTGGAGGCGGCCTTGGTCTGCGCGGGGACTCGGGGAGGAAACACGTGCCCGAAGACGCGGGTCCTCCCGCACCCGAGCGCCGCGCGGGCCCGGCTCACCTCCCGCCCAAGACCCGAGACTTCATGTCCCCCCCGCCCGCCCCCGCGACGGCGCCCCCCTGCGCCGGGAGGGCGCCTCGGGTTCCACACACGGTGTATTTCGCGGGGGACCCTGACTCCATTTCTGCCGTTTACCGGGCGAGGTGAAGGCGCCGCCGGGACGGAGAGGCTCCCCACCGCCGCGCGTCCCCCGGGCCTCCGGGCCTCGCTGGAGGGGGCAGCAGGAAGAAGGGGCGCCCTCGCCCTGGCCGGGGGCGCGCGTGGGGCTCCCACTACTTGTTTGCTCACCACGCGGGTCTGGCGGGCCTGAGGTGGGGGGCTGGACGCCCGGCCACGCGCGGGTCCCTGGAAAGGACGAGGCGGGAAACGCCGGGGACGGGCGACGCGCGCTCACTCCGGGGAGCGACCCGCAGGCCGCCCCCGCGAGGCGCCCGGGTGCAGAGCGCCGGCCTGGGGGGCGGAGCACGCGGGCGCCCGGGGCTTGGGGGGCCCCGCGACCGTGCAGGGCCGCCTTCGAGGGCCCGGGCTGCTGGGGCGCGGACGCCGGCTCCGCCGGGCGAGGGGCGGGGGAGGGCGTCGGGGCGACCGGGCTGGGCGGGCCGCGGGCGGGGTCCTGGGGACACCCGCGGGACGGGGGGCCGCTCGCTCGGGAGCGCTCGGGCGCCTGTGGGTGCGCGGGGAGCCCCGGGCTGCCGGCAGCGGGGGCTGTGTGCGAGGCGGGGCCGGGGCTGTGTGCGAGGGTCCGGGGCGCGCCTTGGGGTCCGGGGGAATCCGGGGCGCGGGGGATCCCGGGCGCGCGTGGGGTCAGGGGCGCGTGCGGCCCGGGGCGCGAGGGCCTCTCGGAACCGGCGAGGGCACGAGCGGGCCGCAGGGTCTCGGGGCTCCGCCCCCACTTGGGGCCGCTCTGCCGCCCGCCGGCTCCTCGGCCCATCCAGGGCGGGCGGAACCTGCCCCTCAGCCCCCGGCCCGCCCAGCGCTGCCCGACCCCGGCGCCCGCGTCTCGGGCGGCGCCCCCTCCACAGCGCGACCCGCCCACTCGTCGCGGCGCCCGGCCGCACCCCCGCCCCCGCCCCGCGTGCCCGCGGCCGCGCGCTCTCTGCCCTTGGCACCCGCGGGCGCGTCGGCGGCGCGCGGGGCGGGCGGGGCGCCTCTGGGGGAAAGGTCGCGGGCCGGCCCGGGAGTGCGCGGGCCCGGCGGGGCCTGGAGGCTGCCCTTTGCCCTACTTCCCAGCCCGCCCCCGCCTCCCGCCTCCCCATTGGCTGAGCGCCGCCAGTGGGCCGCCCTACTTCGCAGCCCCGCCCCCTTCTTTCAGCCTCCCCATTGGCTGAGCGCCTCCCATGCCCCCCCCCGTTCCGCCCCCGCCCCGGCGCCCGCGCCCGCTGGGTCTCGCGAGCGTTCGGCGCGCGGAGAAGGCTGCGGGCGGCGCGGGGCCATGTTCCGGGCGGCGGCGCGGGGGCCGCTGCGGCGGGCGGTGAGTCCGGGCCTGGGCTGCCGGCGGGGTCCGGGCGGGGCCCGCTCGGGGCGGGGGCGGGGGTGGGGCGCGCCCAGGGGGACCCCGCGGCCGCGCTCCTCTCCCCGGCCCCCCGACCGCTCCCCGCGCGGCGGCCGCGCTCCCCTCCCCGGCCCGCTGGGGACGGCGCCGCGGGGCCGCCGGGGGGTCCGGAGCCGGGGTTGGGGGCTGAGTGGCCGCGGGCCTCGGCCTCGCCCGGCGCCCCTGCCCCGCGGCCGCCGGAGGACTGGGGAGCGCAGGGGGCTCGGGGCGCGGCGGGGGTGCCCCCGCGGCCCGACGCCCGCCCGCCTGGGGGGGCACAGCCGGTGCGGCGCGGGGACGCCCCGCAGGTTGCGCCCGGGCTCCCGGGACGGCCGCGCCCCGGGGGAGACCCCAGGCCCGAGGCCGGCCTCCCGGGTCCCCGCGGCCGGCCTGGACGCTCGGGGAGCGCTCGCGCGCCGGAACCGGGGCGTCCCGGCGGGTGTCGGGGCGGGCTGCGGGGCGGGCACGGTGGCGGGGCGCCCGCGGCCTCCCGCCCCGCCGGGGCCGTGACCTTGACTGAGGACCTTGGAGAGCCTCGCGCGTCCCTGAGACAGACAGTGACGGGAACGTTTTTAAACGTTTTAAATACGCGTGCACAGTTGACGTCAAAACTTTCAAATCTCAAACTTACAGAAAAGTTGCGAGAATAGTACAAAGAGTTATCAAAATCCTTTGTTTGAGTGTTACCATCTGTTAACAGTTTTTGGCATATTTGCTTGATCTTTGATTACTTATTTTTGGACCCGTTCGGCTATGTGTGCAGACCTGCCCTTAATTCCTAAACGCCTCAGGTCGCGACCGCAGGGGAGTTGGCAGCACCGGGCCGTGGACGGCGACGCGCGGCTGTCCACGCCGCAGGTGTCCACGCGGTGCTCATGTCCTGCAATAAAATTCTTACCACTTTTTTCTTATTCTGGTCTAAATCCAGCGTCTTGTCTGACATTAGTTCTCATGTCTCTTTCGTCTTTGCTGGAAAACTTTCTCAGCTTTTCTGACTTTGATGGCGTTGGCATTTTAGAAGACTTCTGTTTTGTTGACGGACTTCTTCTTTGTTCCTGATTCAGGTTTGTTCGGTGTTTCATGATTAGACTCAGGGCACATATTTTTTGGCAAGAGTATCACAGACATGACATTGTCTTCTCAAATGCATCGTGTAAGGAGGCTCTGAATATTGGTTTACCCCCTCACTGGCAATGTAAACTTTAATACTTGGTAAAATATTGTTTACTGGGGGGTTTTCCACTGTCCAATTACTCCTCTTGTAACTTTTTTTTTTTTTTTTAATCTTTGGAGTTCCTGGTGAACTTTATTTATTTTTTTTAAATAATAAATTTTCCTCTTGTAACTTTTGACTAGTGTGTGGGGAGAAACATTGAGACTATGCAACTTTCCTGTTTCCCATCAGTCTTAGCCTCTGCAGGTGATTCTTGCCTGAATGATGATTATTCTGATGTAAAATGGTGATTTCTCTAATTGCATCATACCTTCTACATTTATTAGTATTCTGTTATAACAGTAAACATTTCCTCCTGGTTATCTATTAATGGATTCATGGGTTCCTACTTAGTAGGTTACATAATCCTTTACTATTGTAAGATCTTTTTTACCCTTAAATTTTTTGGTGCTCCAGTTTTCTCATTTCTCAGTGGCAATTCCTTCAGTTTTGCTCTTCATTACTTGTTTTTATGATGTAAAGCCAAAATAGCTTATCTGAAAGCCTCACTCTTGAAATTAAAAAAGAAAGGTCTGTATCTAACGATGAGCAAATTTAGAAATCTATATACATATGTATCTCTCCAGGAAACCATGTTTTTAATAATAGGTTAAGGTTAACATATTAAAAGTTTAAAGATTACCTTAAACTATTAATGCAATACTATAAGTGTAGATAACACTACCAAACTGTATACTCAAAACTGGTTAAGATACTAAAATTTGTGTTATTTTGCCACAATTTTAAAAATTAAACTGTTGTAATTTACGTGACTTGAATTTGGTGTCTAATTCTGTTACCAATCTTGTATGTTTTGTGTCATTGAACAAAAGCCCTTCATATTTGGGAGGGTGCCTCACTGTCATCTGTGAAGGGAGGTGGTGTTAAGGGAGCTAGAGAACACACTGAGAGGAAAATAGGTAGGCATTTACGATGAACATTCTTGCAGCAAAGCAGTCAGAATTACTAGTTTTCTTTTATTAATTTGCATTTGAAATTGGTTTGTTGACTAATAAAATACCAAGAGGATACTTTATGTGGAAAGTAAAGCAGCCCTTCTCAAGGTCATTTGAATGTTCCTGTTATTATATTCATTGCCAGACAGGAAGGAATATCTATCATGATTCAGAAGCTATGAAACTGGCATGAAGGAACACGACATTTTTCAGAGTCCATTGTCTAGCATTGATGAATGAGATTGAACTCTGTAATTTGCATGCAAATTTAAATTTCTTTTGAAAGAAGAGAGCCAATTTTGATGTGGTTCTCAAAAGATTTATTACATAAGGTGAATTCTGTAAAATTATGCTGCCTGCCAATGTGTCTACTAAGGGTCTTGTCTGTTTTTAAAGTGAAGTGAATTGGCTATGTTTTTAATATTATAATCAATGTCATACGACATTTCTAATTATGATTAAAAGCTACCATATTTTATTACTTAAAAGGTTAAAGTAAGTTATTTAGTTTAAGTACAGAAATGTAATGTATATTTTATTATTATAAAATGAATGTTAAAATAGGGATCGGTGACTATATATTATTTACTTTTTGAGTAGAACTGGAAAATATTTTCTAGTTTCTATCTGCTGGTTTTTTTTTATTATTACTATTTCAGCTAAGAGGTAAAAAGATTTACATCCCCCCCCCTAATTTCCAAGGAAGGTCAGGGATACCTTAGGTTATGGTTTGTGAGGTTATGAATAGTTTGTGGGGATTAAGTTCTAAAACCTTGTGAAAATTTACTACATGAATATAAAGATAGTCACTACAGGAACACCTGAACGGTAAACCTCTCTGGTTGCTAAAGGATTGAAAAGTGAAATGGTGTCAAAACTGTTCAGGCTGAATAAGAGGAGGACCAAAATATGTCCATTTGACTTTTCTATAACAAAGTTGTTGGTGACTTTGAAGAGATCAGAGTCAGATTGTGTGGAAGTGAAAACCAGTTCTTTTTTTTTTTTTTTTATAGAGGCATGCTTTATTTATTTGTTTGCTGGTTTGTTTGTTTGTTTTGTTTATACATGCACTGGGTACAGTCAGAAGCGCGGGAGGGTGAGAGAATTCACCAGAGGCAGAGCGGGGAGCAGAGCAGGCAGAAGGACCGAAGTACACTGCTGAGGGGAGCAGCGGGCGGCAGGAGAGGTCTGCACGCCATGTGGGACCCTCCTCTGGTGGCCGGGGAGCAGCCGAGGATCGAACCGGCGCCGCAGAGGCCGCGGGCAGCTTCGCAACCCAGCGCTCAACCGCTGCGCCACCGGGGAGGCCCAAAAACCAGTTCTTACGAGTAGACAAGGAGGAGGGAGGCAGCCGGGTGGGTATGTGTGGACATAATTTTGAGGAAGTTTGGCTCTGAAAGGGTGGAGAGAGGATGATAACCCACGTAAACCTTGCCTTGGAGAAGTGTACTGTCTGTAAAGGCCAGGCAACTATGTGAGTATGTGACTGAAAGAAGACTTCACGTTCACATTTATTTGGAGCCAATCTTGTCAGTAGTTTAGATAATGTAGCTAAAGCATGATAAGGGTTAGTTAGGTATTCTGACAAGTTTATGATTCTTCCTTGGTTCTTCATGTCAGTGCTTAGATAAGTAAGATATCAATGAATTGGAAAGTTACTTTTAGTTTTTGATCATTTTGGGTGAACTTCATTTAGTTGCTAAACATTCATTAAGGGCAACTATATGCCAGACATTGAATTCACAGTGGAGAAGAAGATAAAGTCCCTGTCCCTGTGGTGCAAATATACTGTGGAAGAGAAATCATTGAACACATTATTTTAAGTGTGATCAGTATTAAAGAAGGGATGGTTAGGATATTTTGGGGTGCATATAATGGGGGAGAGAATCTGTTGGGGGCTGGAGAAGCTCTGAAAAGATATTACTTTATAAAGTAAGGTGCTTTACAGCTATTGCTTCTGTAGTAATACTAAGGGTGAAAGATTATCTGTAGATAAAAATGTCTCTATTTTTGAGTTTTGTCTATTTAAAATCATCTGTTTAATCATTGTTTTAGTTTTCTTCTTGTATGTGTTCTATTAGGTACATATCTTGCCTTTTTAATATGTTATTATTTTCTAGGTTAAAGTAGAAACAAGAGAAACAAAGCATCAGTCATATTAGTTTGGTTATTCAAATCAGCCAGCCAACCTACCTACCTAAAAATCCATGTGGATTCTGTTTAAGGTTGAA